CACCTAGTGTTTAACAAGGTTCTACTGTCTCAATACTATGATCCAGGTTTTCCTTCACAACAAAGACCCCTACTGCCTCTACCAGAACTTATCAGTTCTAAACCAGAATACAAAGTAGAATATGTAGTGGATGCTAAGCTAGTGTACAGAAAGCTCAAGTTCCTTATTTACTAGAAGGGATACTTAGTTGAAGAACACACTTAGGAACCTGCTGAGAATCTCACCCATACTGCTAAGACAATCTAAGACTTCTATTGACTTCATCTGGGTGCTCTGTGTCAACTCTGCCTCACAGATTTCTAAACCCTACTGTTCTGACTTATGCTTGAGCTACTGACCAAGCCTAATACTCACCAATTAGAATGATTGGTTTTAGAGGGGGGGTGATGTTACAGTTCTCTACTCTTATACCTTCAGTTCTAAGGGTTCTACACCCTTCTGTACTGGAACTCAGGACTTCTGTCCCTTGAGAGTACTGTCTATGAACTATATACATGCTGACTCTTACTACTACCCTTCCTTACTTCATCATTCCATTCCTTTGACCACCCCTTCATTCTTTGTATCATTCTATAGTCTCTTACCCTTTATCCATCCCTTCATTCTTTGTACCTTTATCTTTAACATTCCTTTCTTTCATTCTTTGTGGCTCATCATTCTTAGTGGCTCATACTCCCTGAGTACTCTTGTGTAGTTTAGTATATATAGGCATACAAGATCAGACTAGTCCTGTAGTCTTGATCTTGTCTACTCTAGGTAGTCCTGTACTCTTAGGCTTACTCTATATACTCTACTCTTGTCTCACTCTCTCTCTCTGCCTGTTCTACAAGTTCTGACTACATTCTAGTACTTACATTCTGTATTTCTGTTGTGTAGGATAGTTGTAGCCTGGGTCCCCTTACTGAGCCTTCAGGTCCCCTCTACACTGTTGCTGACAGGTTGTAAGCCTTGAGCTATTTGAATCTGATGAAGACATCTGTCTTTCTAAAGTTAGTGACTCTAAACTCAATACTTTCCTCATAATCCTGAATAGTCATCCATAGTTGGACAAACTCAGTAATCTGACTATTCTAGTTCAGGATTCTGTCTGTATTGTATACTAGGATCAGAAGTAGAACACATCAAGTAGGGAGGTGGTGTTCCTACACAAAGACCTTATTAATGTACAAACTAGTACATTTACTGTCTACTAGAACTGTTGTTCAGATCTGGGGGGATTCTGAGAAGGGAGCTAAGAGGATAGGGACCTGGAGCTAGTACTTAGAACATTCTCAGATGAACTACTACTTGTTCTAAAGGGAACATACAGCTTGTACAGCCTCATTGTCTGAGAGGGTGAGTATATACACTAACATTTCCTTATTAACCTCTCTCTTTCAACAAGGACAGACCTATGTCCTCAGCTGTGAACTTAGCTAAGGCTATCCCTACTTGATACTATAGACAAACTACTGAGTAGTAAATAAGGCTGAGTAACATTCTGAACATTCTGAGATCTTAGAATGTAGAAGTAGTAGGTCAGATTGTACAGATTTAGACTCAGATAAAGTGTGAAGAGAAGAATCAAAAGAATCAGAAGAAATAGGAGAACTATCTACTTTTGTTTTCAACTTTTTTCTATCTAATAAATAATTTTGTTAATTTATTTTTTCTACTTTTTCTACTTTTTCTACTTTTCTTACTTTATTTACTTCTAATCCTATAGTGTCCATTGAATCAAAAGTGGCCATTAAAAAATCTGAGTCATAGCCCTTCAGTACTATATTTACTATTAGGCATTCACAAAATCCTAGGGTACATAGTTAGGGTCTGAGAGTTCTGAGGTGACTTTTAGATTTGTAGAAAAGGCTTCTTACTACAAATCCTACTTGTTACTTGTCATCACTCTAATGACCTAACAGATATACTGTTACTTCTGTAAACAGTCTTTAATTTAGTGCCCTAACTTTCTATAGGTAAAGTATGCTCCTTACTTTCAGGCTTCTCTAATGTCTATTAGAACAAATTGATTGTAAATTACAGGCAGATTAATCTAAGGGCTTAGAACTGTTAGAGCTAGACACATGTGTAAGCATTCTACACAGACTTGACACATCTGAGCTGTAGCTTGGTTGAAGGAGATAGTGTGTGTCTTCTACTTAGTGTAGGTGACTAGTTCTAGTATTATTCTGAGAATCTTATTAACCAGTTCTAGGTGAAGAGCTTTTTTGAGCATTCTGATAAGAACATTATTGAACCTAAGTATGAATCCTACCTTCCAGGCCAAGATATTGAACTCCTGAAAGAAGGCATTAGTAGAATGTTTGTCCTGTCACAGAGACACAAACTTGTTCTACACATTGTACTTCTTATTCAGATTAATGAAGGAAGTATAGAGCTGCCCTATGAATTCCAAGTATGACTCATTGTTCTAAAGTTGGATCAGGCTTCTGATCTAATAGCCTTCAATCCAGTTCTGGGCCTAGGTGGCTGTGTTGCCTTCCTTCATGAAGGAGAGGACAAATAGGACACAATCAAGATCTGAGGATAGATCAGTCAAAGTAGTAGTCATGTATAGTTTGACTTAGTACTAGAAGTCCTTAAAGTGCTGCCTATTAAAGTCTGAAGGGTAGGCTATATGTACTTTCTTTCTAGAACAGGTTGTAACTTCCAGAACAATTAGAACAGGTTCTGAAGGGGTTAGGGGCACATGGTTGGTAAAGGCCTCTTAGATAGAGGTCTACACATATTAAGCTAGCTCTACTTGTAACTACTAATCTAGCAGGACAGTAGGGGTGGCAGTCAGTGTAGTAGGGTTCATGTTTACACTACAAAGGAATCAACACTAAACTAAAAGGGGTAAGGAATAGAAGAAGGGTGGCAAAAGTTTAAAAGGGTTTAGAAAGTTTAAAATTTAAAAATGTAAAAGGGTTAGGACAAAGGAAAGAGATTGACACAACAGTAAGTACTAATGCCCAAAATGTAGGAGAGTCATAGGGTAGTAATGGGTAGTCTTGATCTGATGTCAGCAACAGTATAGAGGGGACCTGAAGGCTCAGTGAGGGGACCCAGGCTACAACTATCCTACACAACAGAAATACAGAATGCAAGCACTAGAACATAGTCAGAACTTGCAGAACAGGCAGAGAGAGAGAGTGAGACAAGAGTAGAGTATATAGAGTGAGTCTAAGAGTACAGGACTA